ATGGAAATCCAAACATAATTAAAGAAAAATGTTGAGGGGCGGAGCAAATAGATCCGAATAGGAACAGTCCCAGTCCTCCAACTCCCAGCGCCAGCCGATCACAGAAGACCGAAGTTGAATTTCTGCATTTTCACTGGAGGTACGGGTCATCTCAACTGGCGGGTCCGGGAACAATCAGGTGCTGGTCAGTCTGCTCAGGCTGTCGACCAGACAGCGAGCTAAGCTAAGAAGCAGGGCGAGCCATTGCCTCACACCTGGGAAGCCCAAGGGGAAGGGAATCCTTTTCCTAGCCAGGCGGAACTGAGACACACAATACCTGGAAAATCGGGTAAAGCTCCACGCCCAACACTGCCACTTTAAGCAAACAGGCAACACCAAGGAGATTTTTCCCCCAGTATCCCACACCTGGCCGGGAGGGTCCCACACCCACGGTAAGCCCTCCCTGCCATTGCTAGCACCAGCCAGTCTGTGTGACTACTCGCGCAAGGCGCAGAGCGAGGCGGGGTGGGGGGAGACGGCCCCGCCAATTGCTGGAGGCGCTAAGTAGGGTAAAAGCAAAGCTGCTGGGAAGCTCGACTGGTGGAGCTCCACCAGCAGCTCAAGGAACACTGCCTGCTCTCTGTAAACTCCACCTCTGGGGACAGGCACAGATTAACAACAAAACAGGCAGAACTCTGCAGAACGCAAACGACCTCTGACAGCTTGGGAGAGAGCAGTGGATCCCCAACACGAGTTGAGATCTGAGAAGGTGACAGACCTCTGCTCAAGTGGGTCCTTGACTCCTGAGTAGCCTAACTGGAGACATCCGCCCCACTAGGGCAGATCTGACCACCCCACCACCTCACAGGGTGGAATACACCCCTGAGAGGAAGCTTTCCAAAACAAGAATCAGAACAGGTAACACTCGCTGTTCAAGAAATTTCTATCTTCTGCACCCTCTGCTAGCGATACCCAGGCAAACAGGGTTCTGGAGTGACTCAAGGCAATCTCCAACAGACCTACAGCTGACGGTCCTGACTGTAGAAGGAAAACCTATCAACGCGATAGACACCTACCAAAACCCATCAGTACGTCACCAATCATCAAAGACCCGAGAGGCCAGATAAAAAACCAAAAAATGGGGGAAAAAGCAGGGAGAAAAGCTGGAAATTCAAAATAAGAGCGGCATCTCCCCCCGGCAAAGGAAGCGCGGCTCAATCCCAGCAACGGATCAAAGCTGACGGAGAATGAACTTTTTAACGAGATGATAGAGAAGAAGGCCTTCGAGTCCATCAAAATTTCTCAGAGGCTAACGAGGAACTACGTACCGCAGCGCAAAGAACTAAAAA